CCTAGTAAACAATGAATTAATAATGAGATTTGTTAGGGAATTGCTGGTCTCTGTCTGTTGGTAGTTTCTCTTTCTGTCTCTCTCTCTCTCTCTCTTGGCCATTTCAAGTTTTGGCTGAAATTGGTTTTCTCAAAGCTTTCAACTTTTATGAATTGTTGGCCAGAGTCCAGGGGGAAATTAATCCACAATAAAGTGATTATGTTTAAGAATTTAATATTGAACTATTGAAGTTGAGACAGTTAAATGATTGTTGTCTTCAAAATGAAATCAAAATGGGTTAAAACATAAGGATTTACTAGTTAAACACACTTTCTGTCCACATTTCTACTACCTAGTGACTCTTAGTGACTCCCTGTGTAACCTTCAGCAATTGCTTCGATCCCTGACTTTATATATTCCCCAATGGGAACTGGTTCCGAGGGCTTCTTCTACAAGTCCAGTCATCATCAATTCCATCATCTCTGGGGCATTTTAATGCGTTCCCCAGCGCGCTGATTATTATGAAATGTTGTCGCTGTTGTCATTATTATTGCTGAAATCATCAGACCACTTCTTCGTCCCCTTAAACTTGTATATATATATATATATCTTTTTTTTCTGGTTCTGTGGGTTGTCTTCCTTATCGCGGTTGCATCGTCATCACTTGTATATTGCAGTTCCCATCGTCGTGGTCGTCGTTGTTGGAGGAGGAGGAGTAGGGTAAACAAAACTGGGAACAGGGACAAGGGAACCCCGGCCTGTGCAACGCTTCGGTTGCATTTTGTTGCCTGTTCCGCTGTCTGCTCCTTGGCTCCTTTTTTCCCTATATATATATATATGTATTTGCTATCAACTTTAGCACCTTTCGGTGGTATCCCTTGCGTTCCTTTTTCTTATCTGAGCCTTGTAGCTACATAAATGCTTCCACCTTGGCCAGGTCGCTGGTAAAAAGGACATCGTTGGCTTCATCACAACATACCCTGGCCTTAAAGTAGCCAAGACCAAAGCCTTAGCCTTAAAGCTGGTCAAAAGGAAAGTCCTTAAAAAGTAGTAACTTTTTCTTCACAAAAAAAAAAATATATAAATAATATTTTCAACAACTTTAAACTTTATTAAATTAACTTGAAGAACAAAAAACCCAACCCTTGACTACATTTTTCCCAGCTTCATAATAATGCGCCTTTAAGGACGCTATCTAAAAACCGAAACGAATGCCAAAAATGCCAACTCCCGGGTGCCACATAATTTGTACTTAAATCGAGTGGAAAGACACGACCAGCCGCAATCTTAGACAATGGCTTTAGGAGTCACAATGATTTTCATAAAGGCCACATTAAAGTTGAGAGATATTTAATCTAGGAGAGGAATGACCATTAAGAAGGACACTTGAAATCGCAAAGGTAGTTAAAATTAAACTTTAAAACTTTTTTAAAAAATCAAAGTTCGTTTAACTGAATTTCTCAATATTTTTCTTTAGAGGGTATTAACTCATTCGTTGCCTTTTAACTCCTAGTTATTTCTGCTAGCTTTTGCCAATTTATACAAGACGGATCCACTGATCACTTTATAAGTAAGTATATCATCATTTATACATTTGCCCAGGGAGAGAGAGGGAAGAGAGAGGTAAGCCTGAACCTGAGCCGCGATGCGACTTTGTCTTTGTCATCTTGGCTTGGACATGTCTCGTTTTTACCGTTTTCGGTGTCTGGGGAATGCCAAAAATGTTGTGTGGATCTCTCAGAATGAGCCCCTGAAATGGAGAAGGGTACCAAGGGGAGAGAATCAAGAAGAAACTGAGCCTTAGCCTTAGCCTGAGAGCATTTTGTACAGTTTTGTATGGGTAAAGCGGGCAGGGGTATGGACTTCCATCTCGTTCTGGTCATTTATATTGTGGAGTTTCTTTCAATCCCCCCCCTCACCAGCTACAGCTCCTCAGGTCTTCAGTTCTCCAGCTCCATGTGCATGTGTCAAGTGGACTTGTTTAATAATTTATGATGAGGCCAAAAACGTAGATCGTGCGTTGCGCATTGCCGGCCATTAATCATGGCCAAGGCAGAAAAGGCTGGAGAAGGCAGAGAGCCAAAGAAAAGGACGGGTTCCATGGCCAGGAGGAGAGGCGGCATTCAGGACAGTTGGCTGCTGTAGTAAAAGTTCAATTACCCGCCAAATCAAAATTCAATCTGCTTGGACGAAGAGCAAAAATAAAAGCAGGCAAAAAAACAAAAAAAAAAAAAGTGGACACAAAAAACAAACAAAACGTAAGTAAGAGCAAGCGGACCACAGTAGTCCTCCTCCGTTGATGACGGGGGGGGGGTGGGGAGGGAAGGTACTATATACACTGTACACTGCATATTGACTGTGTGGACCATGGTCTGGAGACTGCAGACTGCAGACTGCAATGTGGCAAAATCAAAAATTCCAAACGCATACGCCAGACAACCATGAAGTGGAGGAGATGCGATGCGATGCGATGGGATGCGATGCAGGAAAGCCAAAAGCGAGTCATGTCATGGCGGGTGGATTGGGATGGATGCGACTGATGGACGGACGGATCGGGAACGGGGACTGCCAGGAGGGTTTCCACAGGGGCACATCGAAGAGGCCACTTAGCCACGCCACAGATCAGATGACAGCAGCCCAAGACGCGACCAGGATAACAGACGGCGCACAAAAAAAAAATGAAAGAATGGCAAAAGCCAAAAAAACCAAAGCCGAAACCCAAACTTAAGCTTAAGTTAAGCCTATAAGGTTTTGGAAATACTCTTCTTGAGGCTAATGAATCGATTAAAAAACAAGTTGAAGAAAAATTATATATTTTCAAATATTTTTCAAGATTTTTCTTAGTTGAAAAATTAAATTACAAATCAATAAATATTTTACTAAAGCCTCTCAAGCTACTTGAAACCTTCAAACATTTAAACAACCATGTTTAAGTATTATTTTTCAATTAAAAAATAATTTTCTCTATTTAAAATAAAATATATAAATCAATAAATATTTTATAAAAACCTTTCAAGTCACTTGAAACCCTTATCCTAATTCTGATCCTTGTGCTAAAACTCCCCCGATATATGCAGATATATGTTAAATCGGAGAGGAGAGACCCTGACAAAGTTGATGGACACCAGGCAGGGTTCCGAGATTGGGGAACGAGTAACGCGGGTTTTTATCCTCAATGCGTGAATCCCCGTTACCCGCAACAGCAGCAGCCCATCTGCTCCTAGCTCTCTCTCCTCTTATCCCCTGGCCATGTGCGTTGGGAGCTGCCACGTAGTAGGTGCAAGCATAAGCGCTACTAATCTGCTACTCAGTGGCGTATCAGGCTAAAGGCAGCAGCAGCAGCAGCAGCCGAGGCATGCCACCAAACAAAACCAACTGGCAAACAAACAAACGGATGAGATGAGCGGATGAGGTCAGCGGGGGTATGGGGAGCCGGGACTTGGCAGCCGGGAGCAAGGAGCGGGGCGACAGGTCGTGTGAGTGATCAGACAGCCGCAGATTACGTATACGACGCGTTGCTCCCAAGAGATGAGAAGACGGCGATGTTATAGCCAACTTAGCGGCATCTTTTTAATATTTAAAAGTTAAAAAATAAATTATAAAATAAAAGATATTGTTTTTTTCCTTTGACAATATTTTTTAATAATCGAGCTTAAAAAAAATTGTTTTTAATTTATATTTTAAGACATTTTTTTGTATAAAGAAAATATATTTCTAGGGGAAAGGATTTTGTATATTAAAAAAAAAAAAAAATAAAATAAAAATAAAATAAAAATAAATAAAGTTATAAATAAAAGTGTTGAAAAATTATTTTTAATTTATAGTTAAAGTCATTTGTTATATTAATAAAATATTTTCCTAGGGTAAAGATATTTTTACATATAAAAAAAATTAATTTACCAAACAAAAGTTAAAGAAAAAATTTAAAAAAATTATTTAAGATATCAAAATAAATTCTAAATAACAAAAATATTATTAAAATAATTCTCTTTTTTTTTTCAAAATAAATTCTTAAAAAAAAAAAATTATGATTATTATTTAAAACCAACTATTTTCTCTGCCTAATCCTTGGCTCTCACCTCTGATGGTGAAAAGTCCAGGGAAGTGGTGAGGGGACACGCTTAACTTTCTGACTTTTGGCTGCGGCTTCTGTGGCTGCCGCTGCTGCTGCTGCTGCTGCTGCGTCTTCACATGCTGATGCAGCACAAGTCGGAATCGAAACAGCAAAAACAAGTAAGAAAAATACAAAAAAAAAAAAATACGAAAAAAAAAAAGAAATACGAACAAAAAATCCCCAACTCTTGCTTCTTTTCTTATGGCTCCTGGCCTTCCTCCTACCCGTCTCCCCGCCTCCCCCCGAGGCTGGGGAATCTGCTTAAAAAGTCCGCTCAGGTTTTGTCTGTGCCGCAGCAGCAGCAGCCTTCCTTCATTTGTTATTCAAAAGTTTCTTGCTTTTGCCCTGCACTTCTCCTTCTTATTCCTTTATTTATTTATTTTATTTGCCTGATTTCATTTCATTTCATTTCATTTTGTTTCACTTCACTTCACTACCTGGCCATTCCATTTCATTCCTCTCTATTCCGTTCCATTTCATTCCACACGTACACAGTGATTTAACTTGATTTTTTGTGATATATATTTATATGGAGAACAGAATTTACGTAAGTTCTCTAGTGCATCCTTGGTTTTTGGTCACAGGAATTCCTCAAAAAGTCACCAGGAATTTCTACCATTCAAAAAAAAAAAAAAAAAACTTGAAAATGGAATGCCATGTGGGGAATGTTGAAATAAAACAAATTAACCAAAATGAGAGACCTCAGAAAATGCATACAAATGTTTTGACTTAATGGGGGCCGCCAACTGAAGTTAAGAATCATTACCATAAAAAGGTTTTATAATTAAATCAATCAAGAGTTTTTTTTATTTTTTATGGGTTAAACATAAAAAACAAGTTGGTGGGAAATTAATGGAGCTTAGCCTAAAACATATATATAAAAAAAGAAAATTGGGAGTGTGCCTACCTTAGTTCCGAGAGAATTTTTTTGTGGAGAGTATGAAGAGGAGCTGCAAATATATACAAATAAATTAGAAATGTTATAAAGTTATAAAGATTATAAACCCCTATAAAACCATTGCAACATTTAAATTTAGCAAATGGCATTTAAAGTAACAAAGAAATAAAAACATTTTAATAAGTTTTATCTTTATAAAAATGGCATTGCATGTGCACTACAGTTCATATATATATTTTCGTATATATTTGATTTCATTTGCGGAAATTGTTTGATAAGAATTTTACCCATAAAACCTGCAAAATTTACGAGCATATAAAAATTTAGTTTGAAGTTTTTCTTTTATGTGGAATTTATGGCAACATTTTTGTGATATTTATTTAAAAAAATAACCTATATTTCGTTTTAGGGGGGTTTGTAGGTGCCGATAAACTATGGCATTGGACACTTAAAAACAAAAAAAAAATTATAATAATATTTTAAATTTAAATTCATACACTTTTTCGTGATTTTTCTTAATCAAAATTTTTGCAGTTTTTGGAAGAAGCTACTTCCGTGACGAAGATAATGCAGAAAAAGCACGGCGATGGCATAAAAACAACAAAATGGAATGAAAATAAAAAAAATAAATTGCACTACCGCCCCATAATGCTGGCTAAATATGTGTAAACACTAATTATGTTAATTATACCTTTTTTTTTGCGTTGTTGCCGGTTGCCACCATCACCGTTGACGGTGCCTTTGCCAACAATTATGCTAATTGTATTTTCAATTATTATATGCTTATTTATTATTATTTCTCAGCGTGCTCGACCAGCTTCATTGTTGTTTTTGCTGATGATTAAAATTATACAAACGAGACTCGATTTATGAAAAATACGGCGAGTAACAAAAAAATAATAATAAAAAAATTGATGGTTGGTGGAAAAAAAAATGCCAACCAAAATTACGTTGCGTGAATTTTAAGATGATTTTATTATTCCCGGTCATTCGTTTGCAACCGAAATTAAATTGATTTTGCTTTACAGGCCGAACTCCTCATCATCATGCCCTGAAATTCGGAATTTGCCTTATCGCCTGGTTACTATGGGCCGAGTCTGGACATATAATTACACCCACATGCAGGCAGACATAATGTATTCACACATATTCATTAAATAATTATGTCCATAATTAAAAACGAAGCGAAAGGAGCGGAGAACGGGTCAAAGGGACAGCTGGCCTCGGAGTACAAAACAGTCAGCACGAAAGCGAGAACAATAGCGAGTAGGGTTCGAGAACTTTAACGAGAAGGAGAAGGAAAACAAGATTAAGAACGAGAACAAAAACGGCATCAAGAACGAGAAGGAGAGTGAAGTAAATAACGAGAGCGAGAATAAAAATGATTATGAGATAGGGATCGAGAACTTGAGCGAAAAGGATACAAAATTAAGAACAAGAACGAGAAGAATAATGAGACTGAAAACGACAACGAGTACGAGAATGATAAAAATAACAAAATCGAAAAGGAGCAGAAGTATGAAAACGAACGAGAACGAAAAAGAAAACGAGAATTGAAGCTAAAATGAAATCAGTATCGAGAACAAATATGAGATCGACAACGAGAACTAGAACGAGAGCTTGAACGAGAATTATAAAGAGAACTATAACGAGAACTAGAACGAGAACTAAAACGAGAACTAAAACGAGAACTAGAACGAGAACTAAAACGAGAACTACAACGAGAACGAGTAATAGCTTGGCATATCTTTAGTTTACTTCAATACAAATTATGCACATTTAAAAGCACTTTAGTCTTTGAGAATACTCTCTTCTTTTGCCCCTAGCCCTCATAATTTTTTTTTTCTACTCCTCTGGCGTTTTTATAAATAAACTTATCTTAACTTGCAAGGGCTTATGGTGTTTATTGGCGCCACCTGGTATATTTTAAACGATAACAGCTGCCAGCGATCTATATGGGCTTGCTTACCACAGACTGACAGCAGTTCATAATTGCCCCCAGCCCCAATCCATTTCCATCAATCCTACCCATTGCGCTCCATCTGAGGGATATATTTTTTTTTTATTTTTCGCCTGCCAGTGCCATCTTAAAATTGCAGAAAAATTGAGGAGAAAATGGAGGTGGATGGTGGCTGGTGGCTGGTAAAAATTGACGCCTTCGCCTGGCATTTGTTTAATTAAAGTGATGACCTCCCTGCAACATTTACGTCCCGCGGCGGCCGAGTGAAAAAATCAGAAGCCGCTGGCATTATTTAAAATGCAACGCAATGCGGCGCTCGAAATGCAATCAATGTGAATTAAATTCCCCAACTGGGACCAGCACAAAGCGTGTGGCTGGAAAAATCCCAAAGGAGAGAGGCGGGGGAAAATCGGGTGGTAAAAAAAAAAAAAAAAGAAAAAGGAAAAAGCAAAGCGGGGGGAAAACAGGAATCAGAGTCACAATCTGAATCAGAATCCGGCGCAGGTCAGGTCAGGGATTGGGGTCAGTGTTCAGTTCGGCCGCAAATATTTTATCCAAACTCCGTCAGAGAACAGAAAAATGAAGAGGAAAAAAATTATATATATTTACAAAAAAGGATTTAAACAAAAAAAAAAAAAAAAAAAAAAAACGAAAAACCCTACCCAGCTGGCTGGGAAAAATCAGGAAAATTTAATTGAGCGTGAAATATTTCACCGGGCGAGTGTGTGTTGTGTGTATATTCAAGGTGTTTCTGCAAAATGCTTTGTCAATGTTATCTCTGGACCTGGCATTTTGTTTATGACATAAATAATTTGTAAATCAGCAAACTTTCAACTTTTCTTTCATTTCGCACGGAATAAATAAAGTATAAAGCCACCTGAAAGGATTTAAACACAAACAAAAAAAACAAAGGAGAGAAGGAAAAAGTCGGTTCAACTATTTAATGCATAAATAAGCGTGGGAATTATTTAGATATTTCTCTCCATTGCTATGCATTGATTTTCTCTCAAATATTTATATATATATATATACATTTTTTAAATTCCAATTTTCTTTTATTTTGTTTTCGTTATTGTTATGAGAAATTTAAATTGGTTGAAACTTAAATTCTTTTCAACTTTAAAATGCAAGCGAAATGCAACATTTTATTTATTATTATTACATTTAGTTCTTAAACATAAATAAATAATATTAAGTAAGACTTTAATTTTAGTGTCTCTTCTTAAAGTTTAGTTACCTTTCAGCCCCCTCATGTTTGGTTGGCTCCCCTTTTTGAGGAAGTGAAATAAAAGAATTCTTTTTCAATTGCTTTCACTTATTGTTTTATGCTTTGATTTTTTCCCTGTACTTTGTTTTGTTTTGTTGGTCACGCAATTAATTTCTGCACGCAAAGTTTTGTTGGCCGCCTGGCGAAACAATAGCCTTGAACGAACGCCACCCATTGCCGCCCATTGGCTGCCCTTTTCACAGGGCCTTCTCTATATAGGGTCCTATGATTTCTAGCAGAAGGTTGTCTTTAGGATGTGAAGAATATATATAGTACTGGGTTTATCTAGGTATTAGGGTAAGGAGCTGGGTTATCACTTGGAAAATGCTAGAACTAGTTGGGAATTATAGTGTCACAATTGAGGGTTTTTATGTACTAAAGGTGCTTGTATTTATATTTTCTTTATTTCTTTTTAAATAAAATATTAAAATATTATTAAAAAAAATATATAAAGCCTAAAGTAAAATTGTTTCTTAAATAAATATTAAATTATTATTTAAAGGGTATTCCCAGCTGCTACCTCTGAGGGCATTCGATAGTCTTTAATGGTTTTCCTTAGGGTTCTAGGCATTGTCTTGGAAATTTACCTCCCCTTGAGTGGAAGACGCCTTCACTCACCCCCTTTCCTGGCTAACCCTCAACTGCCGTGTGATCGTTATTATTAGAAAAGTTTTATGCACAATATTTTTCTTGTTCTTTTCTCAATTGCCGTTACTCTGGGGCTCTTCTGCTTTTGTCTCCTTTTGGCTACTTGTTGTTGCCTTTGTTTGGTTTGCACCTTCTACTCCTTGACCAACACACAACCCCCTTCCCTTTTTGCCCTGTTGTCTTAACCCTTACCCCTGCCAAGGCACACTGGCATTGCCTTAACCCCCGAATGCCAGCCATCATACATCGTTTATGTTACGTGACTTGTTTGCCAGATGAATGCAAAATAACAGAGCCCGAAGGAATCGGGGGGGGGGAAAAATCGGACAGGGTGTGTTGTTGGAAAAATTCTTACACACACACACAGACACATGTGAGGGGGTGTGTGACGGCTGGAAAAACAGCGGAAAAATCAACAGAAAAAAGGAAAACAGCAGGACGACCAACAAGGCAGAGAATGAGTAAAAGAAATGAGAATTGAGAATGAGAGAAAAGGGCGGCTTTGATAATGAGACCAAATTAAAGGATGGCCTACGGGAGAAAGTGGAGAAAGCGGCTCAAGATGGGGATGGTGAAAGGTCGAAAGGACCTTTAGGTTCTTGGGTCGATCAGAGAAAAGAGCTACAAAAATAATATAAATAATACAATATAATTTTTAAATAATTTTATAAGATTACTTTTCAAAGCCTTACAAATTAACAGAAGAAGAATAATATTTATAAACTATTTTAAAGAAAATCCTTTTGATTTATCATATAATTCTTTAACATTTCCCTTTATTTTCCTGCCGGTAAAGCCTGCCACTTTTCGCCCCCTCTCACACATTGAAAACTCACGAGGAAAACGGTGGCTTTTCCACCCGACCGGGGAATCGACTTATTGTAAAGTTTTACGCTGTCTCCGGTCGGCCTCTGAGCCTTAATCATTTTATCGATTCCTGTTATTGTTGTTGCTTTTAATGCATATTAAACAGATGTAAAAATGTACACTTCAATTACAACAACTTAAGCATGAAGCACAACAACAGCTGGAAAGGATATTCAGCAAAAAAAAAAATGGAAAATGGAAAAAAGGAAGCCAAACGAAGCCGCTGCAAGGATGAATGAACGAATGGATGGGGAAAAAAGGCTGAGAACTGTAAATGATGCTGCAGGGGAAATCACAATTTAAAGCGAAAGACAACAAAAACAAGGTAAATGAAGGGGAAAACAGGAGCACAAGGGAAAAAAACGAAAAACAATATTAAGAAAAAGAGGAAAAAGTTAAATAAAATCGAAGAAAAGGGGTATACAAATAAGGATACCCTGAAAAAGTCTATTAAATTAAGCTTTAATAATTTTTAAAATATAATTTATCAATGTTTTCACAACTTTTCTTCATTAATATTATAGAAAACTCACTAAAAAACTTTCCAAACTCTCTGTAAAAATCAACAATACCCTGTCAGCCTTTTAGGGCATCAAATAAGGATCTCCGACTTGTAAGCTGTTTTTGTTGCGGCTAAAATTACAAGTAATTGAACCTCAAGATGTTGTTCCTCGATTTTTTTTCTCCCATTTTTGGGGAACATGTGTGCGGCATCGGTGGTAAATAGCAACAACAACAACAACAACAAGGAGGGGTGAGGTGTAACAGCAGGATACGGAACCCCGAGAAAAGATACAAACCGTGAACAAAAAGAACAAAAAAAAAAAAAGAAAGAAAACAAAAAAGGTTTCATGGGAAACGGTGGCCTTTTCAAAGGGGGCGTGGCAAAATCGCAACAAAAAAAACCAAAACCGAAAAGGAAACTGAGGATGTGTGTACGCTTTATCGATCAATCGATCATACTTAGCTGGGACATAAACCAGCTGTCGTACCTCCTCTTTCCATCTCTCTCTCTCTCTCTCTCTTTAACGGTAACCATTAACCCCCGAGCGACACGCCCCATTTGGTTCCGATGGGCAAAATGAGATCAGCCAAAAGGTGTTCAGAGATCTGCAAGAAGAGATCCCCGGAACACGAAACACATTTTCGGTTTTGGATTCGGTTTCATGTCCAAATATTTGGAAAGCAATTATGGGAGGCGGGGTGATCCCTGAGGATCTTGAATATATATCAAAACATTAAGCTAGACCTTACGGTTACCCAGTAATTTATAATAATTTTAGTTGGAAAATAATAATAAAATTACCTTTTTGAAAGCTTTAAATTATTTGGAATTTTATTCATAATATTTGTTTTAAAAACTACCTTAAATTTTCCCAGTGAAAATAAAGAAGAAATCTGAAATTCTGGTCAATATTTTGAAATGGTTTTCCCCCTCACTCGACAGAAACAGCATAAATTCAACTTATTTCTCACAGATTTCAAAGTAAATATGCAAAATATTTCTTAGTACCACATTAATGCATCAGGCCACAAAGGGAGTGGGCAGAGGCGTCGCTCTAGGAGAGGGTTCTGGCTTTTTCTGGGGTGTGACTCGCTTGGCTGGGCGACGTCACTCACACTCTGAGACCAAATGTGGGCGAGATAGCTCAGGAAGCGACTACAAAAAAAAAAATGAAATTCAGTAAAAAACCAATACAGGAAAAGAACCCTGAATACCCTTCATAAGAGGGGTATTAAAATGCTCATTATAAATCACAAGTAATAAGCATTGATCTAGACACTTTAGCTTCTTCAAGACTACACATATATGAAATATATATCCTGGAACCTATATGCTTAAACCAAAATTAGTTATACCCCAAAATCTTTGAAGAAAAAACACAATATAAAGAGAAAGAGTAAAAGAAAACCAAGCTATGCGAAAAGCGTGCAACAAACTATGCCTTCGTCTTGCTCCAACTTTGGGCTTTAACCCCCCCTCCATCACCCCTCCTCCCCCTGTAGACGGCGCGTCGTCGTCCCGCTTAACCCCTCGGTGGCTGAGGCCAAGCTTAAATGTTGGCGGCATGTCATGGAAATAACATTAAAAACACATTAAAACCGCGAGTTTCTGGCCAGTCAACAGCACCAACAACAGCAACAAACAAAAGCTAAGCGATGTGAGAAGCCCACAGATATAACCACCACACATACACATATATAAGAATATATATATATAAAGATATATACTTTTGTGTCTGTGTGAACAAGGCAGAGCGACAAAGATGCGTTTCTTCCTCTTGGCAGACTGTCCCCTTGTCGCTGTTGTTGATTTATTCCACAGCAACAACAACTACACCAACAAAATAATAACAATACAAAAAAAAAGTTATGAAAAAAATAAAAAAAAAAAGTTAAAGAAAGAAATGAAATACCATAGAAATACCAGGACAGGAAAATAAGAACAGGGATTTGGTCATCAAAAGCAAAAATCTTGGTTGTTGAAATTGTTGTTGAATTGTTGAAATAAAAAATGTAGAAAAATATTTTTCTATTTTAAGATAATATATATATTAAAAATAAATTATAAATAATACTTAAATCAGGTAAACATGCCTCCAATGGTGACCCCAATGATCAGAAAAAAAAAATTGTTTAGCAAACTTTGTGTGCCAACGGATGTGCAAGAAAAACTCCAAGAAAAATTCAAAGCCAAGCCCCGTTATTCCAGCCTCAAGAAAAATAATAATAAATTACCAAATATTGTACGTACCACACGTACTATAATTATGGAAACAATATAAGATGCCCCCGGGCAAAGAAAATTGCTTCCGTTTCGTTGACCCGCTAATCGTCGGAAAAGCAATTAAGATGATTTTTCAGGTGATGATCGGAAGGGGAACTCCGCTCAACAATTAATGCCAGCCAGCCAAATCGATTGGCATCACACATATATTGTATATAGTTAATGCTTACTATATGTTTGGCAGTTACGCCTCATTAACTTCATGGTAAAAGCCCCACCTACCTCCCCCCTGTCAGCGCCAATAAATACTACAATGAAAATCGAAAGAGCGGTGGAATAAACAAATTGTAAATTTACAGCACGTAATATTAACGAATTTCTCGTTAACAATTTCCAAACAGCCACCATCATTATCATCATCAGGCAGAGGCAGAAATTAAAAATTTTGTTTGCCAATGACACGTCAATGAATTATCATTAACAAAACCAATATACATTGGGTTTGGGGGAGGGGTAGGGTGGAAAATGGTGCGGGAAAAATCACTATCATAATTGAGGTTAACCCCAAACAAATGCCCAGACTGGGAGAGAGAGAGATCAAATGGAGCCACGAAAGGGTATTACAAAAAGCTATTCAATAAGATGCGTAACGGGAGTGCAAGTCTTTGCTTGATTTAATATATAATTTTTTAATTTATAAAATCAATTTTTTTATATATGACATTAAACTACCCTCCGTAAAGCTGATTCTTGTGAATAATAAAGCTACTTCACTTGAAAAACGATTAATAAACTCAGCCGCTTGACTCACTTTCAAAGCCCCGCAAAAAATCGATTTGGCATAGTTTAAAGCGTGAAAATAAAGGGGAAATCCAATAAGTATATAAAAAGTGTGGCTTGAATATATATCAACAAAGAATTATGTATTTACCCAAAGACTAGACGGCGTCATGGGCTTTATCAGCGAAATTCTCACACACCGCACACCCTTAACCCCTTGTTGTCGGCCTCTAATCAATTTGCTTTGAACTCCAAAAACTCAATGAATGACTTGACGCAATATGAATATCGTACATTGATATATATACATGGGGTGTATGCTATATACACACTCTATATATATATATATATATATGTGGGTATATATTGTTTGTTGGCTTATGATTGATGATGCCATTGATTGATGCATGACGCGCTTTCCTCGCTTTTCCAGGCATCGTCGCGTCGTTTGTTGCCTTTTAATTGAATTTCCGAAAATATGCTGAAACTCAACTTTTGCATTCTTATCGGGGTAATACACGAATACCTCCCACCTCCTTCTGCTGCTGCCAAAGGAAAAAGTGAACAAACTTTGTTGAAAATTTATGCGGAACGATAAGGAAATTCGTTCGCCGTCATCGTGGAAAAACATTTTATTGCAACATCATTCGACGGTTAACCGCAAAAGGAAAGAAAATTATAATAATAATAATAAGAAGCAGACGAAGGGGTGGTGATAGATATTTTTTTTCCCTGCTAACTTTTTATAGTACCATTGAATTATTAGTTTACTTATGGAATTATTAAGGTTATTAAGCTACATCTTCAAACTAAACCTAGTTGGGAATTATAGCGTATCTCTGTAATAATCTTTCATTTTTCTTTGCCTAATTTGAAGTCATCAAAAGCAGCTTCGAAAAAAGTGAAATATGGGTGGGTGAAATAAAAAATAATGTGAAAAATCCTTGAAAATTGCCTTCGATGTCTGCTTTTTATGATGATATAGTACACACACTCCACTGCCGCCGGCAACTTCCTGTCTTCGCCTTTGCCCTCAAGGCTTTGATAAATCGCCAAGGCGAATCAAAATTGTTTATAATTGTCATATTTTTCGTTGGCTTGCCCTACTGCAGGAAAAAGTGGCCAACTTCGCCTCCTCTCATCACCATATTTTTTTTTTTTCTGGTTTGATGGGGCGTTGTGGCTGACGACTAATGCGGCACCTTGAAATGGTTTTTATGGTCATGGCGTGCGTTGGGCCATTTCAATTAAACGTCTGCGATGATGATGATGATTGGGCCAAGGGAGAAGGGAGATGGGAGAGAGAAGGAAAAGAGGAAGTCCAAGTAGGAGTTTTCCACTGATTTTCTGGTGCACAGCAAGAAAATTGTAACCTTATCATAAGTAATAAACATTTTAAAAATTCAAAAACTTGCAGAACTAAACCTTAAAAATATCTAAAAATATATTTAAAGTGTTGTAAAGCTTACGTAAAGGATTTCCTTATTTTTAACGAACCTGCAAGTAAAAAAAGAAAACATAATTTATTAGTTAAATATTTAAATATTTTGTCTAGTGTTTAGGTTTTCTGTTATATTTCTTATTATTTGTGAAGTTGTGTCGTGCCCATAATCACAGCCACTTTGTCACCCACCCAGTTTTGGCTCACTTCATGTGGGGTCCGAGGCCCCCCTGCCCCCTTTTCTTGGCTTAATGCAGCTGCCACACGCAAGTGGCGCATAAAAACAAAATGTTTTGCGGGTCTCTCTAACTCTAACTACATACAACTCCCAAATCCGACGCCCATCCTCCATGTTGGTCTCCTCCGGCTAACCGGAAATGAAGATGATGCAGCACAAAAACTATGAAATAAATAAACTTACATGCCACACCATGGAGCACTAACAGTGTATATATACAAATATATACACAGAGAAAATGTGTGCATAAATAATGCTCAAAAAGGGAAAATATCTTGAAAAATAAATAAACAGAATCCAAAGAAAAATTTAGATTTAGGGAGTTAGGAATAAGGAAGAGAGGAAGGGTTATAGGTAGATATATTTATTTATTATATTTTAAATTATATTAAATTTATAGAATTTGTCAAGGAAAGTTCAAAAAAGACCTTTGGCATTGCCCCAAAAATTGATAAAAAGTCCTAAAGTTTATGGCTCTTAAATACCATAGCTTCTTTCCTTCTCTTTTTAAGTTTCATTCTTTTTTTTTATACATTTAATTTAACTTTTCATTGTGTGTGTGTTTCTCTCTTGGCTGTTGCATAATTAATTTTATAAAAATAATTTATTTAATTGAAGTTCTGTTTGACTTTTGAACAACAAAAGTTGTGCTTGTCTTTTGTCCAAAGCGTCAACTCTTGCATTATTTCATTTCGTTTGTTCTTTTGTTGTTGTTGTTTTTTTTATTTATTTATTGTGAAAAAGAGAGCAAAAAAGCTGAAAGTACAGACAAGAAAAGAAGGAAAAACAATTATTTGAAGCGAATCTGTGAAGCTTTTAAACTAATTAAAGCTAAAATGAAAGCATTTTTAAATGTTTGTCTTTAACTTTAAAAGGTTTAATTAAGGTTGTTTTTTTTTTTGTAAGTAAGAAAACTCAACCAAGTGCTGCTTGACATTCAATCATAAAGATTGAAAGGTGAAAATAAAAAAAAATGAAGTCACCATTTTAGCCAAATTGATGAGGTTGCCACACCGTCTATATATCTATATCTGGAAAACCCCGTCTACCCATTTTTCCACTTGGACTTCACCCAAACACCTTTCACTAGCCGCCATTTCACAAACAGATGACAGCTTCACAAATAAAATGTAAATACTCGGGGAGTACTCAGCAATAAACTTGAATAATGTGTTATTATATTATTTATATAAAATGTTAAATTTCCTTTAAGAATATTAAAAAAAAATATATTATTCAGAGACTAAAACTGTTGTATATTACAAGGTCTTTTGGCTACTCTAATAACACATTGTCATGTTAGCTAATATGCCCCTGCTACCCTCTGATTAGCATTTGTAATTAATTAGCACCTGCCCGCTTCGTTTCGCTTGCTGCCAACAGAAAGAGGAGAAGAAAAAAAATGAAAGAGGGGGAGACACACAAAAAAAAAACACAGATAAATGGTGCGAGGTAGGTGAATGGAAATAGCCGAAAAGTTGAGAGGAAAAAACAAAGTTGAAACGGTGGCAGAAAAACACCACAAGATTGCGACCATGTAGGCGTTCCGTCTTAATGATCCCGAGCAAACGCCCGCCCCCACTCCACTCCACTACTATTTTTCCAGCTCCCAATCGCATTTCCGTGGGCAAAAGTGTCATCCAAAATTAATTGCTAAACAAATGTCTAATCTTTGCCATTTAAAAAGCGCATAAATCAAGCGCAAATCAAACACTACAAGATACGGGTATACAATTCAGAGCCAACTTCAGTGGCACAAAAACACATGACAATTTTTATGTTTTTTCCGTCTGTCTGGCTGTTTTTTTTTTTTTTTTTTTTTTTTGCCTCTTTTCTGTTTTGTGTCTTTGGTGAATGGCAAGTGACTCAATTGGGGGCAAGTGGCAATGGAAATTAAAATGAAACAGAGAAGCAGAGACAAAATTGGGAGATATAAGGCGAAAGAGGACAAATTAAAAATTGAGCGAGTGAGTGAGGGATGTGTGGAATTATAAAGGAAATGAGAATATTCAAATTAAGAAATCTTATTAAAAAGAAGACTGAGAGAAACTGCAAGTTAGTTGGGAAAATAATTAGGTAAAATTAAGTAACAAAAAAAAAGGAAATTCTAACATTCATCATCATAAAACATCTAATAAATAAGAGAGAACCTAAAATGATGCTAGAACTAGTTGAGAATTATAGTATCAAGTGATGTTTTTTTTTATACATATTATTATTTTATTTTTTATACTTTTTATACCTATTTAATATTTTTATTTAATGCATTTAATACCTTAATTCTAAATTTAAATATTTATCCATAATTTTTAATGATAATTTTTGGAAAAAAAAAAAAGATTTTAAGAAATTATATCTAAGTGAAGAAGACATTAATCTTAAATCGAAAAACAGTTGTGTCCTTTTTTTTATGTTGAAATATCTGTATATTAAATTTTATATTTATATTATATTTAACTAAAAATTGTTTTCAATTTCTGAGAGTTTTTCGAATGAAACCCCTTTAAAAATTTAGAAAAAAAAAATTTTTTAAAACATGGCTAGAGTTCGACTTGGCTTTTTATCTTGATCAAGAATATATTTATATGATTTATAGGTTTGGAAATGGCAAGGGTATAAAAATAAAAGAAAATTAAACAATCTGTAACTTTAATAAAAAAAAAAAAACACTTTAACTTCGCCCTTAAAGACTTTCTAAATTGTATAAATTTCAATATATACATATATAGTGTAGACCTCAAAAGTTCAAAATGAAATCTGTGAGCTGCCTCCGAGGAGTGGCCATTGCCATTAGACAGAAGCTGGGAAAAGTCCTGAAACTCATTTCCTATGCTCCTTCAGCTGCTTGCCCCTCTCTATCCCCTGTGCCGTTTCTTCATAGTCCAGTGTCCTTTTGCCTTTTCCCCAGGACACTGCCCCCATCCCCAATGACTTGACTTGCCCCTTTGCCCTTTTTCTGGTGCGGACTATCATCCATTTATGATTTAGTCGCTTCCTACTCTGTCCCTGTCCCCCGAAGACTCCCTTGGGGACTCCTCTCTTTCTCTCTTTCTCGCCTAGGTTGGTTGCATTTTTATTGCCAACTTTGTTGTTGTTGTACACACAGTCAACACCTACAGCACCGAAAAGGCAGGGGCAGGGAAATCTAAAGGGGGAATGGACACTACTCTCTGATTTTTATTTATTTTTTGTAAATAAATATTCATGGAAATTGTTGAGGAATTAATTCAATGTATATTTATTTAAAATATTATAATATAAATATTATAATTTAAATATTAATTAATATATTTTTCACATGGAAATGTATTAAAAAAAATATATATATAGTTTCATAATTTAACGACGCCACTGAACTCTGCACCCCCTTTTTGAGGTTCTACCACCCACCCAGTGGGAAGTTGCTTTTCCCTTTTATACAATTTCGTATTTTTTGTATTTTTTGTTTTCCTCTTACTTTTTTTTTTTGTATGCTCTCTTTGCCTCTCAGTTCGCACTCTTTTTGAGTGCAAAATGTAAATTTTGATGTCACTGGGAAATTCTGTGGCACTGCTACTGCCGCTGCTACTGCTACTGCTGCTTCTTCCTGGTCTATAGGCCATTGACGAGGACACTGTCCAGCATGGTTAAGTTCGTTGGTTCTTGCACTTTTTCCCCCACACACCCCCCACCTCTTAACATTGCACTTTCTCCTCTACCATTTCATGCTTGACTCGAGTGTGAACTTCCGCCTTTTTCCCCCCGCCTTTCTTCTACTTTTGCCTTTCATCAGTTGACTTGTTCGACGCTTTTTTTCTCTCTCCTGGTTTTCCCTTGCAGTTTTCCCTGCAGTTTTTCCTTCCAATTTTTTTTTGAATTTTTTTTCGAGTTATATATATTTTTTTGAATTTTTCTTGTTATTTTTGCGTTGGCTTTGAGTCCATTTGCAAAAATATTTATTTGGACAATTTTTCATTGGATTGTTGAAGGAAGTTTGTTGCCTTCTTGTTCCCAGCTCCCCGGCGCTTGTTTATTTGCCAAGCAAGGCCCCTCCTCACTCTCAGCTTCCCCCTTTTTCGCACTGTGTAAATTTGCGTGCAGCTGGCGCACAATTTTAACACTTCTTGTGCAAATTTAACGCAGTTCGTTCTCTAGGTATTGTATACATATGTCTGCAGGTATGTACAGTCTGTATCAAAACTGCAAGGCACTGGTATAAATACTTGAAAAATTTATAAAAATATATACTAAATTTATTTATTAACCTTTTAAAATCAAATATTTATATTTAAATAAAGTAAATATATTTTTAAAAATGACTGAAAGTTTGGAAATGAATTCATTTGTAAATAATTTATTTAAATTATGGGAAATATTTTATAAACAAAATATATATATGAATAAATATTTTCAAATATTTATGAATTTTGTGTAAATATTGTAAATATTTATAAATATTCTGTTAAGGTGAAAAATTGTGTGAATATTTTTATTTTGGGTTGGACCCGAGACTGTGTTGGCCACAATTAAACTTTACGACTGCAATTTTCATGGAATTTTCCTTTTTTTTTTTTTTTTTGTTTGCCGCCTCCGCTTCGCGTGCAACTTCTTCGTGTTGTTTGGGGAAAAGTTTTTTGTAAAATTTAAAGCGTTTGTATTCGAGAATATATATATATTTTATATACAAGAACTTGCGGGGGTTCTTCTTTATCGCTTTTTTCTATGAAAATAAATGTCTGAGAAAGAGTTCTGGCTGGGTTTTGGGTTTGGGTTTACATAATAGTTCTGGTTTCATCCACTCTTCATAGAGATCGAAGACAAAAGGCCTGGAAAGTCTTC